CAGTGAAAATATTCCTGAAATGCAGCATGACAACTGAGAAATAACTGGTACATAAAATAGTAATTCTTAAGTTCTCTACAGATTTGCTGTGTTTAAAAGTAAAGCTAGATCTATAGTTATAATGTCTACAGAATTAAGATAAATCTTTTAAAATAAGTGATTTCTTTCTTTTCACCCACCTCCTGTTAGAATGGCCACAAAAGTCTGACACTTATCTACACAAAAAACCCTAAATAACTTCTCTTCCCACCCCTCTCCCCATTACCCAGGGAGTGACACTAAAAATATTAATGGCTCCTTGTTAGCTCATTTTACAAGTGGGTTGTGGAGAATGGTCATATCTTTGCTGCCCACTTGTATTTTAATGCAGCAGGAATGCCTCCCTCCTGCAGGACACATTGGCTTTAATTCTGACTGTGATATGCTCCCCACATATCTGAGCAGAGGTAGCTGCTTGATGATAGCCATGTAGAAACAGTGAATTGTGTCAGCAGGAGGGTAAGTCCCTGTTAACTTTGGATCTATGAATATTTATTTCCTTCTACATTTCCAGGATGTATCAAATTCTTCTGATATAAAGAATTATCAACTAAATATAGCCTTATTTTAGGAGATTTAAAACTGAAAAATAACCAAGATACTATAACTAATTTTTTTTTCTTTTGTACAGATGAATTAGAAGAACCTGAATTTCAGAAAGCTCATGAATGTGGTAATACTTCATACACATATAATTTTTATATAAAATTAATGAGACTTCTGATGCTTGTGGTATCTTTGCCAGCTATTCTCCTAATGTCTCTTCAAGTGCTAATTTTCTTCTCTCATTGTTGGCTTTCTAAGATTTTCTTTAAATCCTTTTTACTAAGTTTTCTGTAAGACACTGTGGGTTTTCACTGATATCAAATATCTTTCTTGGGATTTGCTATCCAACTGCAAATTGTATGACTTACTTTCGCTGATGTGACACACATGCACCACCTCCCAGCCTCTCCACATTGTTCATCAAGGCAGAATACTGCTTATGGGGCACCTGGCAACTGCTGAGTTTGAATTCCAGCACATTTTTTTGTCTGCTAGAAAACTTCGTCCCAGAAATAGATTTCCCAAAGGAAATATTTTGTTGAGGATGCAGAATTATTTCCCTTTGGCATTTGTTGCAAAGCTGTCACTATCATTACTCATGTTGTTTAGGAAAATGTAGTACAATAATTTTTATATTTATGATTCTGCTGCAGTTTCAGAAATGAGATTCTAAGGGAATTGAGGTCTAAATCTGTAACTTCAACAAGCTCCTGTTGATCTGCAGCTGTAAACTTAAGAACTGACTCTGACTGTATACTCCAGCCCTAATCTCTGCCCTATTAACTGGGCTGGAAAACAGTGGGAGGACTAAAAATTGATGGAATATCTGTCTTATGTCTGTAAGGTATTCAATGATGTCACTAGGAGAATTTAAATCAATGACCACATCAGTTGCCACAAATTAGTAATTTTGTGAAAGATAATCTGTGCCAGCAAAGAATCAGGGCTGATATTTGATTGATATATGAAATCTTATTACATAATACACAGGCCTGGCTGGCCAGGGTAGGACAGGAGAACAGAACCTTTGCAGGCACCCATGTGAGACTTTACCAGCTCAAATAGCAGAGTCCTACTCCTGCCCTGGCTGACCTGCCTTAATGTGCTGTCACCACATAGGCATACCCTTGCTCTACTTGAAAGGTTGAATTCCTGTTTCTCTCACACCTTAGGTACAGGCAGCATCCATGCCCTGACCCTGGGCCCTTTACCCAGACCTTGGGTCTTCCTACATTTCCTTCTGCTTAGCAGCTAGTCTGAATTGTATTTTTTGGCAGGTCTCTTGTTCACATATACATGGAGAGAACAGAATATACAGTGACTGTGCTTTGAGTATACACAGACAAAAGACAGTTTGAATTAATGCTGTACTTCATTTGGAGTAGTGTTGGATCAGGCCCAGGGCCTGGCTAGACAAATATACTGATCACTAACCTGCTTACATGTGGCAAGTTCTGTTTATTCCCACTCTTCCAGTCCCCCACACTTCTTCATCTTCCTTGCTATTTTTCACACCTTTGGCTTGTCTGTCTCCTAGACATACTGTTAAAAAATCACAGTATGTTGACATAATGTTTTTGTAACAGCGTCTTCACTGAAAAATGTTGTAGCTGGTTTATCAAAGGTCTCTGTGTGCATGCATACAGGAAGTTGTGACCTGTAATTTATTTGTAAATTTCAGAAATCCCACACTCACCTTCTAGCCCAGGATCCACTAGCATGAATGGCAAGATAGAAGAATTGCTAAAGAACTTCAAGAATTTGGAGGCCACTCAAGCTCAAGACCCAGCTGCTGAAGGGAGGGAATCTGCTGGCTCTTCAAAGACTGAAATATTGCCTCTACCCGAAGTGCCTTGTTTCCACATATGTCAAGAAGATATTAAAGCATCTGACATCTTTGAGCCATTGTTACTCTTCTTAAATAGGAAAGAGTATGAGAGCAACTTCAAAAGCTTGTATGATTTCTCTTATTCATTTACTAGTAGCATGTTTTATGGATTTTCAGAAGAAGAAGAACTGGTTAGTTTTTTAAGTTTAGCAAGGGAAGCAGCAAAGAAAGCAGGCCTATCCTGGGCACTAGCAAGGCTGTGCTTTCTCTTAGGCAGGCTCAGTGTCAAAAAGCTGAAATTTTCCCAAGCTCGGGTGTATTTTGAGGAAGCATTGAGAGCAGTAGCTGGAGGGTTTAGTGATTTGTACTTTGTGATTGCTCTTTATACAAATCTAACCATCATCTACTTGACCCAGAAGAACAAAGAAAAGTGTACTCATATTTTTGACAAGGTTGCATCTCTTCTCATGGGAATTCCCAACTACATTTGCAGTGCTGACCAGGAGTCAGACATACTGAAGTATGCTCTGAAGAGGACAGTTTTGAGCCAGAACAAACATGCAGAGGCAAGGGCGTGCTTTCTGCTGGCAAAACATTACAGTGCACGCAAACAGCACCAAGAGGCACTGCCATTCTTGGAAAGGTTTCAGCTGTTGCTCAATCACCTGGGTTTACAAAACAGTGTATCCAACAACTGTTACTTCAAACTGGCAGAGTCCTACCATGAAAAGTGTTTGCCACACATTGTATTAAGTTGCATAAAGGTTACCTCTCCCCAGAACTCCAGTACCTTAATGGATTCTCTGAAAAGGATTGATTTAGCAATCAAAAATGCACCCAAACTATATGGCCTGAGAAAACTCAGACAAATATTCCCATCCCAAATTACACCTTACCTCATACAGGCACTTTCTTCTGTGTTTACTAATGAGGAGGAAGGACTGTGCAGCACTATCTATCTCAGCTTAGCAAAGCTGTACAGCCACCACAAACAGTACAGAAAAGCCATTGCTTATATGATGAAAGCACTGGACTCTGCTTCTGCTAAGCCAGAGGAAACGATCAACTATTTGGTTTCACTTGCTTGGCTATATATTCTTTACAAGCAATATGATGTGGCTTTAGCCATTTTAAATACTGTTGTAGGCTCTGCATGGAGCAATGCTCAGCAACTCGGCATTGCTTATAACATGCTTGCCATTGCTTTGAGAAGGACAAACAACACCAGAGAAGCTGCTGAGAGCTACTACAAAGCACTGTGTCTGTCAGAAGAGACTGAGATGACCCAAAACCAAGCCATAGCCCTGGCTAATTTTGGGGCACTCTGCCTGCATGCAGCAGCCAGCAAGCTGGCAGAACATTATTTTATCAGGGCAGTTAAGCTATTCTCCAAGCTTCCAATTATGGACTGTGGTCAAGACTTTATCCAAGTCCTCCTTCAGCTGGGATGTTACTATGTTGGTGGAACTGAAAGAGAGAAAGGAAGGTTTTACTATGAATGGGCTTTTTTAGTTGCAATGGAGACAAGTCATCTGGAGAGTAAGTATATCTTTTATAAGTCACAAAATGTACTCTGTTTGGGAATGTTAGCTATGCATGTATGTTACATCTGTATTTAGAAGATGCATATGTTTGTTATCCTTCCTACCATGATTGAGGCAGCTTATGCAGGTAAGGTGACTGCTACTATTTTATTTTGGAAATGAAGTTTGAAGTAACCTCTAGCCTTTGTTAACTTTGGGGATGAATGAAATGGCAGTGGGATGTTCTTGTTGTGATTTTTGTATTTTTCCTCATCTGTGCTGTAATTTGTGAAGTAGTGAAAGTGAATAATTTTAAAATTAATTAACTTTCATTTTAAAACAGATTCATGTTTGTATTTCCAATCTCTTCTCTTAGGTCAACTACAAGCAATTAAACTTCTGTGTCAGTTCTATAGTACAGTTGCTCCCAATGAGACTCAATGTGTCATCTACAATGAATATCAGCTATCTTTAGCCAGAAAGATGTCCAACAAAGTTCTGGAGGGACAAATTTTGGAAACCATTAGTCAGCTTTATTTGTCTTTAGGAACAGAAAGGTAAAACATGCTGAATGACTTTCCTTTCATTCTGATTTTAACTTTTCCATCCTGCAGAGGATCTCAATTTGTGCAAAAGCTGAATGTGACTGATTTTTTTTTTTTTTTTTCCCCTCTCTCTGCTTCTGTAATACACTTTATCAGAATTGAAAAGTCCAGTGCTAATGGAGAATTTTCTTGTTTCTTTTTAAGTAACTATAATCTCTCAAGGGAGACAAGATGTTCTGCAGGGATTAGCAGTCCTTCAAAACCAATTCATTTTAAAAATCTATGTAAATACATTTTAAACCTATTATATGTTATACAGCTCTTGATGACTGCTATATCGGGTGATTTGTTTTTAATGATTTTTGCAAGACCTTTTTTTTTTAAGGCACCAAAGTACATGTTCCAAACAGATCAGACATTAAATTGCCTCTATGTAAGTGTTTCTCTTCGAGGAAGGGCTTTTTTCAAAACAAATAAGTAGGAAGTCAACATGCAAACCTGTGTAATTTTACTTTTCTGCAATTTCTATATTGCTCTTATTTTCAAAATGTCTATTTTTTTGCTCTGATCTATTAAAATAACAAACTACATGAATTATAGTAGAAAGTGCTGAGGAAACTTAGTTTTCTCTAAGAATGTTTAAAGTGTGTTTTTAAGGCTGCATTGTCTGATTTTTTATTTTTTTTTTTTCTTGTTGCAAAAAATATCCTCAGTCATGGAAAGAGAACAGGTGTCTATTTTAGCTTTAAGTGGCTGTAGTTTGAGCATCTAATGTGTTTAATAGGTCACCCAATTTATTTTGCTTTGTTAGGGCTTTTTAATGGTTTAGTTGGTGACCATCCTTTGGAGAGATTGAAGACAAAGGAGTTGGTTAAGATTTCAAACTGCCTGGGATTGCAGAAAAACTTCACTAGCTGGAGAAGCTGCTGCTTGTTGTGCTGGTATACATGGAATTTGTATATTCCAGGAGCCTGGCTCCCAGATGTTGACTGTATAACCTCAGCATGGTACCAGATAATAGCACAAACTCCATATGGTATTAGACCACAGTATCTCGGTATTCTTTGTGTTAGCTGCCCTGAGTAACAAGGAAACTCAGCTCTTCTGACACCATAACTGTGCAGGTCACATTCTATTTTAATATGTTTGTGTCTTGTGCTCAGAAGAAAATGTATTGGGTCGGGGTGATGGGAGTCTAGCACAAGATGGAGAAAGATCTAAAATGTCTGTGGTTTCTGTGTCTGCTATAGAGCACCATAACACCAATAAATCTGGTGACTTAAGTCCTTCTAGAACTGATCATAACATGTCCCATTATCCTTGCCCTACAGATCTCCTCCCAGTTTCTCCTTTTTTTCAACAATTGCTGATTATTCTGAATTGCAGTTAAGTCAGATGTCTAGATGATTAAAAAAAAAGTGATTTCTTTGACGTTTTTAGGAAAAACACCTAAATGATACAAGAGTTAAAGATGAGGAAAGACTATTCTACTTCACATGAGTTTGAGGTAGAGGAAGGATGCATATAAACCATCTTGAAATAATATAAGATATAACAGGAAAAAATGTATGACTAATAAATATAATATATACAATATATCATTATATATGTAACATATTTATGTAACTATATAATAGGTAACAATCTAACAGGAAACAGAGATAGAACAAAAAAAAGGAGGAAGAAAAAGTCCTTTAGTTACTCGTGTAATATAGCTGAGAAATTGTAATTGTGCTGTAAGTAGGGGAAACAGAATGTAACATTTCTTGCTATGAAGAAAACCATTTGAAATTCTGAAGAGCCCTTCTGTGATTAGCACTTTTCCCTGTTTCAGGGCCTACAGGTCAGCTCTGGAATATACCAAAAGAAGCCTTGGAATATTTATAGATCTCCAGAAAAAAGAGAAGGAGGCATATGCTTGGCTCCGGGCAGGAAAAATATATTATGTTCTGAGGCAGAATGAGCTTGTGGATCTTTATATTCAGGTGTGTTGTCAACACTTACAGGCATGCACATGGTATCAGTGTTGTGCAGGTGGCATGGTAAGAGTAAGTAATTGGGTATAAAAATTCCACGTTGTTGATGTTCTGATATTTAGTGCCACTGTTCATGTAATGCTCAGCAGGTGAAGGGAAAGTCTCAGCATTTTCCACTGGTAATCCATTTTAATCTGTTGCTTGATTCTGGAAGGATTTTGGGCAGTGACCTTTCTTAGTTCCTGTTAATTCTGTGTGTTTCTTCAACACCATTGAAGAAACAGCTCTACAGCACCACAGCAATTATGAAACACATGCGTTCTATGTGCTGGTAGGTAACAGAGAATGTTAGCATGCTGGCTTGTGGGCCAGACTCCCAGGAAAACAGAGTAGATTCTTTAGGAAGCATTTCCAAAGCATCTGAACCTTCTGTGGCCACGCTTGGTATGACACGGAGCCAGCTGGAGCTGCTGTTCCCTGCTCACCTGTGAGAGCAGAGGCACCTGTCCCACACACTTCTGTGCTCAAGCAGAAAGAAGGACTTGTATTAACTGAATTGAATTTGAAAACTGACAGAGACAAAGCCACAGAAAGATTCTTAACCTTGCCTTATGTAAAACATTTTCATGACTATTTTCTCTCTCAATAACTGAGGATCCTGGTATTCTTGCTCTGCATGCTGTCTTTCATTAAATACTTTTTGCTAACAAGACATGTATTTATCCATTAGAATAGAGTAGTAGACCTGCATTTATTTGCAGAAATTAGTTCACAGGCTTTTAAATCTGCAGTTAGCAATATCTAACTTGCAATTTGAATTTATTTCTATGATATGTTTGATCTAATTCAAATTTACTATGTGGCAGCTATCAAATACACTGTTTTTAGAATGTCATGTGCTGACAAAGATAGCAGGATACTATTGCCAGAAAAAAGAAACTGGGTTTTTATTTCTTCTTTAGCACCTGCCCCTGGCTTGTTCAAAGACAGGGTTCCGAAAAGGAGCAGGTTCACATCAAATATAGCCTTTCTCATCATTATAATAGGAGAGAAAATATCTTTTTATTTTTAAAATTGCTAATACTTATGATTTTTTTTTTAACCACAGAGTAAACATGATTTAATTTCTTTCTTTCCTTCCCCATTCCTTGTTTTCTTTTCAGGTTGCTCAGGATGCTGCTCTTTGCACAGGAGATCCAAATTTAGGAATGGAATTGTTTGAAGCTGCTGGAGACATATTTTTCAACGGTACTTTGGAAAAGGAGAAAGCAGTGCCTTTCTACAGGGTTTGTGCAGTTTTTCTGCTGCATTAATAGTTATGTACCTCCCACCATAGCAGGTCTTCTACAAAAGCTGAACCTCTCAGCAAACTGTTTATAACCTGTTGCATGCTTGTCATGATGTTAGTAGATATCACCTGTTTCAAATCCACTTCTGGCTGCAAAAACTTTTATAAGCAAAGAGCAAAACGAAAGCAGAACTTCCCTCATTTGATATAGATGAGAGCATGTCAGTGCACATCTTGGGCCGTACCTAAGGTGATGTTGTGTGTTTCAGGACAGGGCTCTCCCACTTGCTGTTCAGACTGGCAACAAAACCACTGAACTCAGATTATGCAATAAATTGGTGGAATTGCTGATGAATCTGAAGGCTTATGAGGAAAGTCTGGAATATGCGAGAGTAGCTCTTGTCCTCAGTGTAAATTTAGGTAAGAATAATTTCCATTATAGCGGAGTATGAGTGATACCTCTAAAAATACAACAGAACTTTAAAGTTTTCTTCCCTTGCATTCAGTCATTTCTTGTCAGGATTTCATAACACTAGTATAATTGCTAATTTTTCCTTCTGTTGAAGAATGAGCAATTTATTGCTTCCTCTTCCAACTTAGGATCAAATGGAAAACCTTTGGTAAAGCACTGAATCAAACCTGGAATTTTAGGTCCAAACTGAGTGTGCTTCTAAGAGCTAAGATACAATACTCATGAATAATATAATCCTAAGAGGCCTTCGAGTGTCATATACATTCAGATTTGCCCACAGCCTTGATTGTGAACTAACATAAGACTGAAAAATCGAAAATTATAGGTCTTGTTTCAAAATGGCTATTCTTCAAGTCTGGGAGCTGTTCAACTGATTAAGGACCTTCTTAACTCTCTGTACAAGCACAGCAAGGTCATTTTGATCAGTCTGAAAATAATCTTGTTGTAGTAAATTTTTATGTCAAATATATATTGGGATGGACGAGGGAGTCTTTATTCCCATTAACTTTTTCTTTCTTAATAATCTATTTGCATTCTTTTTAAGTATGCACACTGTGTGTATGTGTGTGTATATATATTATAATATACATGAGAGATGAATGTAGTTATTTCTTAAAATCCCAGGCACTGTCAAATCCTATGATAGTAAATTCAGAAATTCCATAGGATTTTTCTTGAATGGCAGGTTTTTACCATGTATCTATTAAGCAAATGCATTTTTATTCAATAAAAACTCAGCAAATTCAATACAAAATTTTTTAAAAAGTAACATAGATTTGAGTACTTTGTCTCTTTGTTTTTAACCTGACTCATGTTATCTCATTAGGAAATCAGCTAAATGAAAGAATAGCCTATCATCGCCTGGCAGCCATCCATCACCATTTGGGTCACTGTGAACTAGCTGAACACTTCTATTTAAAGGCCTTGTCCCTATGTTCCTCTCCTCTGGAATTTGAGGAGGAAACACTCTATTATGTCAAGGTGTACTCAGTTTTAGGAGACATCATATTCTATGACCTTAAGGTAAGAAATCTTAACTTTTTAGCAAATTTTTATACTGAGTAATATTTCCTAGAATCAGATTTTGCCATTTTCTAGTTTTGTGTGTTTGGAATGTAAACAGTAAAGTGGGAAAACCTCAAAAGCTCAGCATTTATATTATTCTTGTTAGATACTCATAAACCTGAGCTCTGGAGTCCTCTTGCATTGGTTGTACTATCTTTGAGCCTCTTATTTCAGGATCCCTTTGATGCAGCTGGCTATTACCACTTGGCACTTGCTGCTGCCATGGACCTGGGCAATAAAAAAGCTCAGCTGAAGATTTACACCAGACTTGCTGTGATCTACCATAACTTCCTCGTGGATCGGGAAATGTCTCTCTTCTTCTACCAAAAGGCAAGAACCTTTGCAACAGAGCTGAATGTAAGGAGAATAAATCTAGCTCCTGATCAGTGTTACAAGAGTTTATAAGCATTTTTGGAAAATGCAGCTCAACTACTTCAGAAGTACCTAAGGAAATGCTGCACTGGCTTTGTAGGAGGATGCAGGCTGCATTCAATGACTCATTATCTGTGTGCTCCTCATCTCAGACTAAATTACCAGTTTATATGACAGTGAACTACATTTCATTGTCTTTAAGATACACAGTCTTGTACTTGTTGTTTAAGGATCAGTCTGTGGACTACAACCAAAATCTAAAAGTCTCTTTTTTAAACAACAATTTTCTTTGCTGTATCTTTCTGCCTTGATAGATATTGGAAAATGATTAATGCAGAGATGCAATGTTAAATATTTAATAAAGTGTTACAGAAGAAAAACCACTCAATATGAGTTGTGGTTTCCTTTGCCTGACCTAGCTTTATTACTCTTTTTGACATCAAGTAAATGTATTTGTGCAAACATGTTGATGGGCATGAGAATTGTTTTGACCCAGCTCCCCAGACACCACTCCTTATTTTCTATCAAATTCATCTACTGCAGTACTTATGGGCACTAGCTAGTATTTATCTTCTAATTCAAGAAAACTTACATACCTATTGTAATAAGAACTAACTGGTTTGTAGAACTGAAGTCTCTCATAATACGTGAGTAGTAGTTTTGTGGATTTCAGTGGTCCTGTGAAGGGCCTTCTTCCCCATATTCAAAGACAATTTGTTTTAGCTCCCTTTTCAGAACTGTCACTATTACCTGCAAGGACTTATTGCAGCTTTTCCTACTCTGTTACATAGAACTAAATATTTATATGAAACGTACTATTTCGCTTCAGTTACAAAAAAATCTAGATTGTTAATTTTGATACTTCAAAATCTGCATGTCCCAGAACATTTTTGTACTGAAACTATGGTAGAAATGACATATCATATTCAGATTCATTTTGAGATTATGCCTTTTCATTCTCTCAAGAACTCTCTACAGAAACTGCTGATTTGTTTTATATTTAAGGGATATTACAAGGAATGGAAGTATGGATGTTTTTGGAAGTTGCACATACAGTCTCAGAAATCAGATGTGGCTGTTGACTACATATTATGTTTGTTCATATTGTCAAATCTGGGGAAAGGTGGAAAACAGACCTTAGTTTTTTTTTAAACACCTCTCTAGCTATTTAGTCTCATTGCCTTGGTTTTTTACCTAAGAATCTATCATTTCCTAAAATCTGTCATTGAGCGCATGCTCTGAATTCTTTCAATATATACATTCAGGTATCTGATTTTTGTTGTCTTTTTTTTTTGTCAGTTTTACTTATTTCCTACAGGAAGAGTGTGTATGTATATATATATATGTAATAAATGTAAATATATGTATATTGCATATCTGTGTCTGGAAATATATAGATCTAGCTATAGCTGAGATACTGTCCAGGGAAAGGGGAAGTGCATCTTGTTCCTTGGTGTTCCCATGGTCTATATAACAGATAATTGTCATTATCAGGAGAACTGTAATCTTTTAATTACCTTGAAGCAGTGTGATGACTTAGGCAGTCAAGGTAACTTGTTATGGTCCTGCTCCTAGCTCAAGGTCCAGAAAGTGAAGTAGCATTTCAGTGCTATACCTTTGAGATTAAACATTTTTTATTTGCTATTTCTAGAAGACTCTTTACACAATAATAATTTTGTTTGCTTGTTTTCTCTTCTGGCACTGTAAATTTGAAAGTTTTAGTGTAATGATGTCTTAGGAATAACTTGATGACAGATTCACGCTGGTGTCATATTGTCCCATTAAGCATGGGAAATTAATTATCCCACGTGCTCTTCATTGTCTTGACCTGAAAACTCAGCAAAAGTCCTGTATGATCTCTGCAGAGCTGTGAAAATTGTGGATGGTGCTCTTTGTTCATTAACTTGCTTTTTAGTGTTTGACATTCTATTTTCCATTTCATTTGATTTTTCAGACTAGCTAAATTTATAACCTCTTGCTGATTCTGATTGCTGCAATCATAGGCTGTCTCTGTATTCGGGGAAGGGAACCTGCACTTTATTTTGAATTCAATTCTGTTGATAAGGCCTATGTTCTTTCTTGCATGGCTACTTCATCTTGTTGCCTTGATTCCACAGAATTTTTGCTTTCATAGCAATCTAGTTCTGTGTTATTAATTTACCTTTTAGTCTTAAATTGTTCTTAAGCAGTGTATAGTACATGGAATTTCTTGACCATTTCCTTGACGCCAGTAGAGCTGCAGTATATAAAAATCTATCTGTTTTTTGGAAAGGCAGGATCCAAATTCTCTCTGTGCTCTGGTGATATGGGAATTCTGTTTTGCTGCTGCATGTGGTTAAAGTACATCAGAGGCAGAGGATTTCAAAGAACTGTATTCCTATTATATATATAAATTGCATGTTTAATTTTTAAAAGCTGTTTCAAAATCTGTTAGATCTTTAAATACATCTTTTTCTCCAGGGAGCACAGCATAATTTTACGATTCTGAGATACCAAATACAATCAAGGCACTTGAACAGCAAATCTGAAATATACAAGTTCTGTGAGGAACTGAATTTGGATAAAAGGATTACACTGATAAGTCCCGTTCATCCAGTCAGGAGTGGCAGGATTCATCTTCCCTGCAGACACCTGTTACACGGCCATAGTCTCTTCAGCATCAGAGAATGGTCTGCAATGTAGACCATGCTGCATATAGCATCCAGAGGTGCATGAGATGAATCTTACCTGATGACCTTCCTGGTAAAAGTCTTTATTGAATGGAAACCTGATTAGTATAAAACTGTTTTTCCATAGCTGTTATGTAAATGATCAATTTTGGCCAGATAACTGGTAGAACAATATTCCAGCATAATGAAGCAAAAAGGCTGAACAGCATTGAATCTAGATACTCCTAGATAGGGTATAAAATCATACCTCTGCAGAGTCCGTTTGTTAGAAAATACAGTGAGGAAGAGGATGTTTGAATGATAAATGAAAAACAGACCTAGGAAGCCCATGAAGATTCAGATGGCTTCCACCCAGAATGAGTTACGTGGCTGATCAGTAGAAAATTTTGATACTCTTAATGAGCCAAAAAGCACTGCTGAGCTGTTAAAAGCTCTGCAGGAGCTGACACACTGTAGGTATTTCTGCTTGATTTGGAATAACAATGTTCTGCTTCCTGAACTGGCATGAACTGGTACCTGTGAGCAGCTCCATGTCTAAAATCTTGTCAGCTATAGAGCCAGATGCTTGTGATGCTTTCTCATCCAGGAATGACACATACCAAAGTATCAGCCCTTCATTTTCAAAATGGGATTGCAGAGTAGTAAGCTGTAGTGATGGTACCATGGTACAGAATACTTAATTATTGAAAAAGATGTCCTCCTGTAGAAGCTCATGTTTCAAAAGAGGAAAATACAGAATACAGTACTCAGGCAGTCAGGGGGCTGTCTTCTCCCTCTCTCCTGGTTCAGTAAAAAGACATTCCGAACTCTGCATGCTCTGTGTGTGTCTGTGCAAGGACGGCAGTCCTGTCCCCTCTCATGGATAAGCAGTTGTGATAGATCACTTTGAAGTAATAGATGTCAGGGTTAGATGTCCCCATTTTTACAGTTTTGGTCTGCTTGGAGAATTGAGCCCCCTTCGCGTTGGCATTTTCCAGGACCCTGAATCTCTAATTTGGTCTGAACCCTCCATGCTTTTCTCGCCCAGCCCCAGCGCTGGCCAGCCGAGCGCCTCTGGCCACGGGGTGGCAATGTCTAACTTCGCATCGGTGCCTTCTCTTCTGCCAGCTTAACAAAGGAGTCCGCGAACTTGAAAAAGTATCCCACTTTCTCCAATACCCTTCCCGTCCAGCTGAAATGTCTTAAGACAAACCAAAAAACAACCCTAACAACCCCATGACCCATTCAAACCCTCCAAAAACGGATGAGCTTAAAACTCTTCAAGACCCTTTACCAGGGCAAGCAAAAAGTGCTTTCACCAGCCAGCATCTGTTGCAAAGGAAATAAGCTCTACGAAAGTAACAGCGCATTTGCAGGGAGTAAAAAGAATTGAAGATAATAATTCTAAGCTACTTTGAAATGCCTTTAACTGACTTTTCCACAATCTAGAGAAAGCTGGCTGCTCTGAAGTACTATGCAGGTTTATTTGTAACAGGAAAACTGCTGTGGTAAAGTAGACACCTACTGAATGAGGTTGGATGCAGGCACGTGCTCAAAACTCCTGATATTATTTTTAAGTGGCCAACTTTTGAGTCTACTTGTTTTGCCAAGAGAAATGCTCCATGAATTCTTTGTATGAGCCTGGTGCTACAGTACTCCAGGCATTGACATTCAAAATATCTAACCTAATGAACCAAGAGCTTTTCCTGAAGCTATACCAAGGATATTATTGGTTAGTAGCTGTTTTCCCAGTTAATACAAATTGCCTGGCTGGTGTTATTCGCTGCTGAATGCTCAGGTTCCTCTAAATATTTTGCTCCTAATGGTTTGCTGCCTTCATTTGGCCATTTCAGGTAAGAAAGGTAAGAAAAATGTTTCATTTCATGCATAGCTATCCTGCTCTGGCATTTTAATCACAGGGTGGCAGGTTAAGTTGCTTTAGCACTGTCATACTAAATGGATTGTATTTTTCCATGAAAAGGCAAATTAAACACAATTACTTGGACTTACAATATTATGAAACTTTTATGCCATTTAGATGCTGAATTACTCTAAAGAGTTATGTGCTGGGAAACTCTCAAAAATTGTCAGGTGTTTTTCCTGATGTAGCAGATGTACAAAATCTGTTCAACGTAGCTTTTCTTTGTCAAGTCAACAGAAGGGAATTCCATCATTGTATGGAAAATATCTAATTTTCTGGAAGTTGGAGTAAGCATAATAATTGGAGCATTTTTGTTTTTCTAAAAATAACACTGATTCTTTCTGAATCTGTGCTGAAGTATATTTAATGCCCTGGGATGGTATTAGATACTTGTTTTCCATCAAGTCACTGAGGGAGAGAGAAACTTCTCAGGATCCAATGCATTCCCAAGATGAGGAAAGACTTTACCAAGAGTCATGGACCATTATCCTCCTGTTTGTGTTTCGGTTAAGATGAAGATACATTTCTGTGTGCCTGCCTTTGCTGATATATGCCATGGGTGCATGTTTGAGATGCAACACAGCTGTTTCTTTCTCCCCCTCAAGAAGAAGATTTAACCCAGCACCAGTATAACAGTGTGCTTCTTGTGATATCAAATATCAGAGTTCTCTTGGATATTAGGAAGTGCAAGTGAACACCTAAGAAGTGATTGAAATGGAGCATGAACCCTAATGTTGGCTCCTTTTCTGGAGTTCTTGTACACTATGACCTTTGGTCATGAATGGGTAGGGGTGGGTGTTTCTGGGAGAACTGG